GAACGACAACTCAGCAACTCTATAGCGTTGGCAGCTTGAAAAATTGTCAATTGTTGAGTTTGTCACGCTGACAAAATGATGAATTGGCTAGAATGTTTTGCCAACATGAGGGAAGCAATGGGGAAAAGCAAAGGGGAATCCACATACTTGCATACATATGTACATATTTGTATACCTCTTATGCTTTTAACGATTTTTAGCAACGCAGGATTTGCCTGCTCAGAGGCATTTGGCAATATGTGACCAACAAGCAGCAATCGCCGCACAGCTTTGCAACTTGCTGATAACTTCATGAATGGCTGACTGGCTGGACTATTTTGCATACATACATTGCTTGCTGTTTTTCCTTTTTTGTTGTCACTTGCGGTACACCACTGCGTATGCCATACATATTTAGGCGAGACGGAACCCCTGCGTGGCAAAAACAAAAGTAGTCATCACTTGGGTGGTGACGTTGATGCCAGAATTCGAGATAAATGCTGTTGCCTACGCACAATCATTCTACACACACAACTGCAACCACATGCATACTTAAAACTTATTTAACTCCTCTTATACCGTTGTTGACCAGTTACCCGTTGCACCTGCAGCGATTGGACTGCTCTGATTTCATAGTCGTTGTCGCTGCTGTTGCTGATTGCAGGTACTGATGAGTTGCTACTGATCTGGGTTGAATATGTTGCGATGTTGTTGTTTACGTTCGTTTGTTTGCAGCACGTTGTTGTTGTTGTTGGTAAATCTTGAATTAATGGCATTTTGTTTTGCCTTTTGTCTCACTGTGTGACCTGCATTTTGCACACTTAAGTTCGAGAGTGAGTGTGCTTGTATATAAATCTTCTGGACCAGCGCTGATGAAATATAAAGAAAATATGTATTTCACAAATTACTGGTACATATTTTCGTTTCTTCGTAGACTCAACCCTTTAAAAGTACATCGTTACCTATAGGTGAAAAGGTGTCAAGTCCATTTTTTGAAATTATTCAGGAGAGACGAAAAATCGATGTAGTTCGTATTGTCTGTCATTCTGCATCTAGACCTACATAAATTAAAAAAAAATAAAATTGGACTTGGCACGTTTTCACCTTTAGGTGGCGACATGTTTTTGCATATGTACATTAGGGCGGGTCAATTTGTATGGGAGATTTTTTCTACTATGAGCCTATATCACAGAAGAATTTTGCGTGTAATTATAAGAAAATTTGCCGAAGAAACCATGGGTCTAAATCAATTTGGAGTTTGCCAAATTGCGAAAATAGGTTTCTTATCATTTTCCAGTATTGTCGTAAAGTGCTTAAATTTTGCATAAAAACATCTACAAGGGCTTTTTTTGGTATGAGAAATCTATTTCTGCACTTATCTTTTTCTTAAAACTTGCACCAGAAGGCGCAACAGTGAAAATTTTCACATTTCCTTCGAAAATTATTTTCGCAATTTGGCAAACTCCAAATTGATTTTAGACCCATGGTTTCTTCGGCAAATTTACTTAGAATTATACGTAGAATCCTCCTATGCTATATGCGCATAGTAAAAAGAAATGACCCTCCATAATGTACAGACAAACATATCCTCGTTTTTTGACAAACCTTGAACGGGTAGAAAATGTGCCCTTTTTCCCGTAATAGTGTGTTATTTAAAAAAAAAAAAGAACACTGATTTTTCTCATCGGTTTGTTTTTATTTTGGAATCGAGATATTTCCAATGTGGTAACACAATGCGCAGTTTAATTAACACTAGAAAGACTGAAAAATCGAGATGGGGACGGGAAAATTTTACCCAACTCTTTTAAAATTATTTTAGTAATAAAAAACTTATAATTTGAAATTAACATTTAATTAGGCACTAAAAAATTAATTTTTACTTTCAAGTTTTTTACTTTATTAAAAAAACCTCGGTTATCAAAATGTGCCCATTAACACTAGGTGGGTTTGAAACGCATCAATTAAAATAGGAATGCTTTTAAATTAAATTTAATGCATTTTTAATAAAGGTCACAAAATACCAATGTAGAAAAATAACTAACAAAAGGAGTATTGGCAGTCAAAATGAAAATGGGTCAAAAAACCCCGGCCGCCTTTCTAGTGTTAATGTCTCAGTGAGCCCCTCCCTCTTTATGTATCTTCATTAAGATTTTTTTTTTCAAAATAATGGCATTCATTATTCATGAAAAATCCGAAAATCAAAAGTCTAATCTATGTGTAGAAAGTGATATTTTTGTAAATCATCTCGCATCTATTTTATTTTTTCATTACAAATTTGGCCCAAATTCCATTACTTTATTTTCTGCCTTACTTCTTCGCTGTTCATGAAATGTAAGTAAATTTGGCACATATTTTGCATTTAAAATGGATTTTCGTTACACTCACAAAGTGAAGGAACGCAATTTCCTGCGACGATTGCCACACTTGAGCATGATTAAATGCCTTTTAAAGTGATTGAAAGTAACAGCAGAGATGCTACTTGAGCAAAAATGTACTAAATTTTAGGTTAATGGCCACACTTTTAGGCCCTATAATCGTTCAACGTAAGATAACTGGTGTCAATGGGGCGCATCACATTTGGTTACATAAATAAATGTCAATCAAAAGTAAAGTGATAACCTCAAAGTGTTTTTGACTGCGAAATAAAGTGAAGTCACTCCGAAAATCCTAAACCAATTTTATTTTATTGCCAAATAAATTACAGAGCATGAGTGATTGCGTGCTGGTGCTGGTGTATCTGCCGCTTGCGAGTTGGTTAGCTACTCAGCCAGCCCTGACTTACGCTGATTTAGTCATTTCACGCTTGACATTAGCCAAGTTCACAATCAAGCAAAGGCATACATTTCCTAGCTCGTCATCTACTACATATGTATGTATGGAAATAGTATAAATTTACAGCCGCTACAACTCATTACGCGTCCACACTCATCATGCGTTTTAATTACATTTCACTATGCTGCGATCTATACTTATAACTGCCACCCTCACGCCCGCAAGCAAGCACTCGCTGCATACGCTTCTGAGCGCGTCATTTGCTGTTGGCAATACAAGAGCGGTTAATTACGCAGAACTTATGATGCGCGCTACAGCTCAGTTAACACTCAAGCGCACTGTTTTGGCTGCAACGCACCATCAACTTTTCGCACATGAACAGACAACAGTCAACCACTACGAATAGCAGCAACCCCCGCCACCAACACTCCGCCTTACCCGACTTTTCAGCAGCTACTTAGCCTTCCCTCTACTTCTTTAGCTTTTTTTTTAATTTTTACTGACTATTTACAAAGCCGTATTCACATGCAACGCGTATGTCGACATTCACGGGCTTGACATCAGCGTCAGCATAAACATTAGCAGCAATACGGTGGGCAACATCATTTCAAACATAATTATCGTTATCATAATCAAAGGCATTAGTTGGCGGCATTGTTGGTGGTGTTGCTGTTTATGACACTGACAGCCGCGGCGGCATTCATTATTAGCACTTTTTACGTGTCCATTGCGTATTTGCACTGCTGTACTAGTGTGTACTCGCGATTACGTGCGTTTGAGTGAATGCGTGCGCGCTTTGCATTTGCTCCTCGTAATTATAACACTTCAAAATTCCTCGACGTTCTCGACTGAGAACGCGCAACGTTGCCTTACGATATGTTGTGACACGTTGCAGCGTTTAATTATTTATGCGCTGATGACATTGATAATGGCTGCGTTGATGTGGCTGATGGTGATGATGATAAAATTGTGTATGATATGTGTGAATGAATGTGTGCGTGAAATAACATGTGCTTGTGTTGATGGTCCGTTGAATGCGTTAAATGTGGCATTCATTATTCACCGACTTTGAAGCGTGAGTGAGTATGTAAACATTTACAAAGAAATAAGCTTAAATAAGCTGAAACTGCCAATTTACTTTGAAACTAAAATTATAATTTTTGTGATTGAAGGCCAAGTGAGCGAGTGATATAATTAGCGATAATTGAAAAATACTTAACTTCTTTAAGAAAACATGGGAATTTTAAAACGTTCAGGTGATAAGAAATCTGAATTATTTTATGAAAATCGAAGTTCGCCCAATGGGCACGGCCTAAAGTTTTAATATGATGGACTTAATGTCAAATCGAGAAGAAAATCGTGGCAAGCAATTTCATCGTAGGTTTAATGTTGCATATGTATTTGACTTATTGTTAAAAAATACATACTTGTGATAATTTCTTTCATAATTCCGTTCACTCACATGCTGCTGCCGTGCACAATACATTCCATAGCGCATCTAATCAACCTCTATAAAAGTTCGCGAAAGTCAAAGCACTCGTGGTGTGAGCCACACGACGCGCGACTATTACTCATAAATGCAATTAAACTTATGCATGTGGCACACATCCAAACCATTTTACCAATGCATATGTCATTCTCGTAACGATTTTGACGCGTTCGGCGCGTCGTAGTTCATCAACTAATTATGCGCACAATTTGTGCGAAAAATATTCACACACTTGCATTTGCACTAACAACTTGCTATCGTCGCATTTTGTGTAGTCAAGTAACGCGCGCTAAATATCAGGGCGTCGATTCGTGCATAAAGTAAACGTGCGACAAAATGCGCTCCGCGCTACCAATCGAGTAGTATTAGGTGTCGCCGCTGCCGTTGTCAACAAAACGGTGCGCCGGCAATCAATCATTTACTCAGTCATTCATTTATTCATTTGCGCCGTCAATTTCA